AGACGCTGCCACTGCGCACACGGCCCGCGCCTGCTCCCTGCTCACCCTCCCCTCCCCACCCTCGCCCACCGCCATGGACGGGCCCGCCGCGCGCGGGACCCCAGCCCTTTGGGACAACTACGAGGAGGACATCTCAAAAATCAGGTGAGGCTTGGACCTGGGCGTGAACCACAGAGACCCCGGAGGAGGTGACCTGCGGGGACAGTCAGGGACCCCAGCAGAGGGGGCCCCGGGCTCCTGCTCACCCTCCCCTCCCCACCCTCGCCCACCGCCATGGACGGGCCCGCCGCGCGCGGGACCCCAGCCCTTTGGGACAACTACGAGGAGGACATCTCAAAAATCAGGTGAGGCTTGGACCTGGGCGTGAACCACAGAGACCCCGGAGGAGGTGACCTGCGGGGACAGTCAGGGACCCCAGCAGAGGGGGCCCCGGGCTCCTGCAGCCTTGGACCTGGGCTGGACTTGGTTGGCTAGGCTGGCTGGTCCACCCTGGGGTACAGGTGCCTCCTGAGAAGGGACTGGGGGACCCGGGCTGTGCTGAGTCACCAGCCAAGGTGCCTGAGGTGTCCCTGTCTCTCTGGGGGCCTTGGTTTTTCTCTCTGTCAAAGGGATCCATAGCCCTGTGTCCCCTGAGACAGGGCCCGAGGGTGGGCAGCTGGTGGCTAGTTGCTGCTGGGGGAACAGAAGGTTCTTCCCAGGACCCCCACCAGAAAGCCCTCCAGTGATGAGGGTGCTCCCCGTCCTGGGCTGAGAAGAGCCGCCTGCTCTGTTCCGGGAGGGTGAGAGAGCAGGGGTGGGCAGGGGCGGGTGCTGCTGAGTCCCTGGGGGCAGGGGCAGAGGCCGGGGGCTGTGTGCTGGGCGTCTGGGGTCAGGGAGCCCTGGACTCCTTGGCCCTCCTAGGGGAGGCTAAAGCTGAGCTCTCCCCAGCCCTGAGCACAGCCTGGCTCCTGGCTCCGGCTGAGTCAGGCACTGACTTGCTTTCCAAATGGGGAAACTGAGGCCGAGAGGGACAGCGATGTGGCCGGGGTCACACAGCTAGAAGCCAGTTTGAGCCTGTCAGTGGGCCGGCAGAATCTCTGGCTTGTCCCTCTCCTAACAGCCTTGGAGACACCCCCTCCATGGTCCTGCCTGGGGCTCCGCATCTCAGAAGAGTAAGCAGAGGTTCAAGGAGGGTAGGCAGACTGCCCAAGGCCACACAGCGGCTGCAGAGACACAGCCTACCCCACAGCTTCCTCTCTTGCCAGAGAACTCCTGGCTTGTGCCTGAGGACGGGGACAGCCCAGCCCCGTCCCCAGTTGGTCATCTCTCTCCATCATGCTGTTTCTGGCCCTCCTCGGCCCTTCCTCAGTCAGGGTGGAGAGGGCTTCCTGGTGCTCGGGACTCCAGAGGCAGGAGCAGCAGGCCCTGATGGCTGTGTGACCTAGGCAAGCTTCCCGGCGTCTCTGGGCCTCTCCAGCTGACGGTGGCCATAAAGCTCGCCCGTTTCTGCTTGGGGAAGGCCCCGCCATTGTCTCCTCAACACGCTCTTCTCCAGGCCTTCCAGGTTCCTCCGTTCTTCCCTTCACGGACAATTCCACTCACCTCCAGGGTTTCCGCCTCCAGGATGGCCTCGTTCCTTACCCCAGTCCAGGCACCTGGGCTCCTCCTGCCCAGCCAGTCGGTCATAGTCTCACGTGGCCTCGCTCGGCGTGTGACCTTGATTCAGTCCCTCACCCTCTCTGAGCCTCAGTGTCCTCATCTGAGCAATGGGGTAACTAACCCTCTGGCCCAACTGTCTGCACCGCCTGGGTGGCGCCTTTAGTGCCTCCAACTGCCATAAGCCCTGGGAACCTGGCAACTGTGCGCCCTCTCCTGAGCCCTCTGCCAGCCCTTCTGGGACTCCTTCCTCCCGATGCTCCCCTCCCAGGGCTCTGGCACAGAATTCCTCACTGAGCTCAGTAGCTCCCCCAGAAGCCCCTCTTCCAGGGTGCCCATCTCAGGGGTGCCCATCCCCGCCATTGCTGGGTCAGACCCACACCCCCATCTCACCTCACCTCTACACGGCCCCAGCTCCGGCCTCAGCCCTGAACCTCATCCGGCCTTCCTCCCTCCGGTGGGCCCCACAGCTGTTCCTCTTCTCCTCCCAGCCAACCACGTTTCCCAGGGCTCCAGCCCCTCCAGACCTCGCCCATCCTCCAAAGCCAGTCTCCTCCCTCGCCTGCATTCCATCATCCCATCCCCCTAGTCCAGACCCCTGGCCTCCCCCTCTGTCCCCCGCCCCAGTACCTTTGCACTCCTGCTTCTTGCGACAGGACTCCCAGAGAGGCCTTTTCTAATTCGCAAGCCTACTCCGGCCATCCCCAGCTCCAGTCCAGGCTGCAGGCTGTGGCTCCCCAGCGCCCGTGAAAATAATGGTTTCCCAAACCATTTTAAGACGCAGATATCTTCTGCTCAAGAGAAATCTTACGCCCAAGCAGAAACACACAAAAAAAGATCAAGACAGAGCTACCCAGGGTTGAGGTGGGGGTGGGGGTGGGGTCCTCTCACCTGCAGCTCACAGGTTCTCCCTTCACTCTCATGAATTCAACCGGAACCCCTCCCTGGCCCCTCCAGTTTTGGAAACCATCACTGTGGGCACCCGGGAGCCACAGAAGGAGCCACAGCTGGGGATGCCCAGGGATAGATTTGAGAATTAGGACCTCTCTTGGAATCCCTGGAGAAGGAACCAGGGGTCCAGAGGCACCAGGGCAGGGAACAGCATGGCCTCAGACCCTGCTGGCCTCTGCCTCTGTCCCTACCTTCCACACTGCCCCTGACACACACACACACACACACACACGCCTAGCCGCCTCTGTGCCCACGCTGGCCCAGATGGCCCACCTCGGGGCCTCTGCTCTGCACATGCAGGCTCCTTTGCCTGGCTGATTCTGCCTTCCCTCCATTTGCTGAACTCCTTCTCAGGCTTTAAGATAGTACAAGGGTGAGACCAGCAGTTAGCGTAATGGCTATGTCGCTGGACTCCCATGTAGTCGACTATAGTTCGAGTCCCGGATCTGGTGGCTTAAACTCACACTGGGCGCATGTGCATGTGTGCCCAAGATCCTGAGAAAAGAATGGAGGAGAAGGGGAGAAGGGATCGTGGCATGGCCTTCCCCCCTAGGGGGTGATTTCTGGCTTTCTGTCTCTCTTTCTCTCTGTATTTCTGGTGAGCACATATGCCCTATAACAAAAACCTCTTCAAGAAAAAAAAAAAGGATTGAACAAGGGCAATTTAGGGTTCTTGGCCTGGGGGGGCGATCCATGACAGATCCTTCATTGTGCCAGTCCATCTGCAGCTCTGTACCGTGGCACCGGGATGGGGACCTGTGTGTGGGACCTGTGTGTGGAGGGGCCGGCATGGAGGAAACCTCTGAGCAATGTCAAAGAATGAATGAATGGAGGTGGGATTAGGCAAGCTGAGCTGGCTTTGCAGGATGAGTCAGGGTTAGGAGGAGGGGAGGAGCAGGGCAGGGCGTGCTGGGAGGGGAAGTGGCGGCTAAGGGACAGGGCCAGTTTCAAGATAAAAGAAGGGAGCCTGGATTTCTGGAGGTGAGGGAGAGCAGTGGGACCCCCACACACACACACACACAGTGACCGACACTCTTACTGGTAAACCAAGGAAGCAATTCCCAGGCTAGTTCCATCCTAAGCCCCGACCTTGTCCAAGAAAAGCTAGACAATTGCTTTGGAATACGGGCAGCGTGTGTGTTAAAAACTATAGTAAAAAAATAGGGGCCGGCAGCTGGGGTAGCGGGTACGTTGATGGGCCCCCACATGGCCGAACCAGTGGCTTGAAAATCACACCGGGCGCACATGCATGCATGCCCAAGAGCCCGAGAAAAGAATGGAGAAGGGATTGTGGTGTGGCCATCCCCCCAGGGGGTGATTTCTCATTTCCCCTCTCACTGTCCCTGTCTCTGGTGAGCGCATGTGCCAAAAAGCAAGCCAACAAACAAACAAACAAACACCATGTGAACAATATAAACAAGAGGGGCCTGACCGGGATTTAACATAGGCCTGAGGGGAGGCGTCGGGAAGGAATGCGGATGATGCTGGCCAGCGAGATGCATAGCTTACTGTGTTCTCGCTCTTGGGGTCCGCAGAGTTGTGCTTTAGAAGCCCAGCCTGGGTCCAGCAGTGCTGTAGGTATCAGGGGCCTCGTAAGGAGAACGGGCAAAATACAAGTGCTCAGAGGAAAAAGTTAGACCAGGCGGTAGGGAGGCCAGGCCCGGAACCCATGTGAAGACAGCCCAAGGGACTCTAATCCCTATGGCATGTTGGAAGTGTTCCCGGTGCCTGCCGCCTGACCATTTGCTCCTCGCCAATGTGAATGATCAACTATTCAGACTTGAGGCCCAGAGAGGTTGAGTGATTTGCCCAAGGTCACACAGCTGCCAAGTGAAGCTTAACCAGGATTTGAACCAGCGAAGCCTGACTCTATCACACCCTGGGTGGGAATTTGGGGGATCAGCACAATCAGGGCGGAGTAATATCCAGGATGTAGTTTGCCCAGACAGGAGGCTCTTCAGTCCATCCTGCTCCTTGCGTTTCCTGCCTGGACTGTGTAGCGAGGCCCTGACGCACAGGGTCAAGGCAAGAGAAAACAAACTTTCAGACCGGGGTGGCCTCAGCTGCCCAGAAAGGCTGCGGTTGCTGCTTTGCCCTTCCCGTCCCCTCCCCTCCCTCTGATCTTGGAGTCCGCAGTGCAGGCGGGCGGGCGGGGTGGGGAGGGGCCGGCCCTGTCTCCCTGTGGCCGCCCCTCCTCCTTAGGAGAGCTGAGCCGCCCGGGGACTTGCCGGCTCCAGACCTGC